AGGCTTTAACTTATTAACATTCATATCACTATTTTCACAAGAGAATATTTGGTGAAGATATACCCTCATCTAATATTCTGCTACAAACTACAACAATACCTATAATGCAGTTGGGAAATAGGTTGCGTTGACAAGGTTTTTCCTAAAGCTCGTTTCAAAATTAGTATAGTACATGAATGTGTTTTAAAAATAATATTCCTTTATTTTTTTAATTATAGAAGTATAAGATGAATCAACTTGTAAGTTTTTGGATTCGGCCTAATTTACGTTTATTTAGATTCCGGATCGGCACGATTGAATAAAATTAAGTTATTTAATTCTGGCCACAACTTTTTTAACCTAACTTATTTTGTGGACTTTTTGAATAGGTTCACTTGAAATTATTTTTCACAACTTTAATTTTAAATAGTATTTACTAATAACGAAAATTTGGAATTTTTACCTTTATGCTTTATCTAAAGGATAAAAGAAGTTAAAACATTCCTTCCAAATTAACAAAATAAATGTTGGTTTAGGTAGGTAGATGATGGGTAAACAAGGAAAAACGAATACTAGAATTTGTGTTTTCCTTATACAAAGAAATACGACCTAATGGATTATATTACATGAATAAATAATTCTTATTAAATAATTATTATTTTTAACTATTTTTTATTAAATTCATTATGGAATATCCATAATTAATTATGACTATGCGTATTCGTTTATTATAATAATAATAATAATAATAAATAGTATTCTTTTCTTTCTAATCAATAATTTTTTTTTTCTCTCTCTATCAAACAAAGCATTAATACTATCCGCTCCATGGCTTAAAACTGCTCAGCACTCCAGAATAGCATCGTATTACTAATCAGTGATTTGACATGAATAGTATATGGTGGCATAACAAATCATCAAATGAAAAGATATTCCTTACACTTCATTTAGTAAAAAAAATGAAAAAAAGACTAAAAAGATTATTTGATTGAAAAAAAGAAATGTATCGGTCATACTTGATCGGTCAGTCTAAACGAGTTAACCCTGTTACAAACATCATCGTGTATAATTCTAAGATTGAGTGGTTGCGATAAAAAATCAAACTGTTAATTTATAGACAAATTATTTATAATACATATCAACTATAATCAATTGAGTTTTAATTAAGTTTTTGATAATTTAAAATCTATAAATATAATTTTAAAATAAAAAGATGATGATCATATTTAAAATATATTAATTATTTAAATAATTAAATCACATCAAGGTACTTTGTGTTGTGGTGTGGAGATAATCTCAAATTTAATAGAATATACAGATAGAACAAGTAATGACATAAAGACAAGTATTCGAATTTTCAAAATTTTATAAATACCATAAACAGTTAATCTCGATCTCATATCCGAAAACAAAAACATAATTTTATAATAATATAATAATAAACTCATGGTATATTATACAAGTCACCTAATCTATTGCCAATAATGAAAACGATTACATATGAATTAAAATAAACATATAAGACAGCTTCGTATAATCAATCATGTGTTATAGACAGATATAAGACAACTTAATGTGTATACCTAGAATATAAGTCACTTGTGGTTATGATTTTTTCTTCTTTCTCATTATAACATCAAAGAAAGAAAGGATGATTCATAATTTTCTTTAAATCAGCTCAAATCATGTAATCAAAGTCTTGTATCGTTAAATAGATTCCTTCATACGTACCATACCATACCAAACGAAGCAATAGAGTGTAGAATTGCACCGCTTAGTTAAGAAAATCGGAGAAAGTAACTGAAAGAAAATGAAACTTGGATGCTGTGATGTGAATACTTCCAATAATAACCCAAAAGTTCTATAAAAGGAGAATTTTATTTTTCGGTAGAACCTATTCAGAGAATTTCAAAACGTGTTTATACAATTGGATTTATTCTGTTCCGTAGTTGAAAACAATTACTGGAAAAATGGGATGAAGGGAAAAGCAGAATTGCATATTGAAAACGAAGGTGACGTATTTCTGTCACTTTTAAATTTATTATCCTCACTCAACGTCGTTACTTCTCTCTCTCTACCAAATCGTCAACACAAAAACCAATTCTACAACGTAACAAGTAAAAAAAATACATATATTTAAACCACCAGAATGTAATGATGTTTAATGTAAATTTAGTTTAGGTAACAATTAATTGCTTAGTTAGGGCAGAATGAAGAACACTGTAATTGAGCTATCATTAGACGCTAACATGTTTTTTTCCATCCAAAGGTGATATGTCTCATTGTCATGGATCCCTTTTGCAGATACACCGATAACAATGATTCAACAACTCAACATTATTAGTTGTTGAATCTGGATCTATTATTTGTTCAAAGGAACAATATGGGTGTTCAACTGTTTATCTTGTTATCTCTGTCCTAGTCAGTGTGTTGTGTGAACTCCGTTAAGCACCGTGAACAGAGATTAAGAAAAACAAAAAAAACTCCTATGATTTTCTACCGACCCTTCAGATACCTCTGTTTGTGTCTTGTCTTGGATTTTCCAAAGTCACGGTCAAACGTTTGTGCCTTCTTGTTTCATCAGTCACTAAACCAGTGCCGGATTCATGCACTCGTGTCTGAATTATAGAACATGGTAAATTGTTGTGTTTCAAAGGAAAATTTTACCTTTTTTTTCCCTTTTTAAAAAATTCTAATGCTTTTATATATATATAAACATATCTGCATTTTTTTAATCTAGTATAAAACAAAATTTGGCTGCTTTCGCCATGCACAGTCATCACGATAATCCTGAATTGAGGAATAAAAAGCTGAGCAAGTAGTTTATTTTATTTAGCACGCACACACATAAGAAAACTATAGATTAAGCCATTCTTAGTTAGAAGATGATGCATCCACCTAAATCATTGATTATGCACATGCACATGGCTGTTTTTTATTTGTAGTTGCTTCGTAAGAAATTTATATAAAACGTGAAATGGAAGGCATGAGAGAAAAGATCTAAAGATGTATCTGTGTTTTGTTCATAAGATGCTGGTAAAATATGTAACAAAATGAATGGACACAGTACATGAATATCTTCACACCAGGAATACTCATCTAACAAATGGGTCCTATAACAAAAAAATATATGGTGCTGCCTGATTCTGCCAAGACCATGGGAAAGCGACCATTCATCCATCAATACCTCATCATATCATGCACCACCATGCTATGTATCAAATGCAATGTATTTCATTACACAACATGCTTACCCATCAACATCTTCTTAAACATTATTTTCTTAATAATACTTTCATTTTTTATAATTTCATTTGTTCAACATCCCACGACAACAACAAAATATAATGCGAATTTGCGATATAAAATGGCCGTAAACTTCAGTTTTTCAAGTCAATTTTAATATCATAACATAAATAAATTTTAAATTTAATTCAATTTTATAAAATCAGACGAGATATTGAAAATCGTGATATTGTTCCCGATGTTGTGTGAGTGATCAGTGTGCAACCTTAATTAATTCCAGAGAAGTGAATAGGATTTTGTTTGTATTTGCCTCAGAAATTTTGGACCTTCTTCCAGCTTCGTATTAGCTGTGCCTCCACATTTTTCAAAACTCTTTTATTATATTTCAGAAAGACCTCTCTTACATTAACCTTGCGTTTCACAAAAAGAAAGAAACATAAAAAATAGGTCCACAAGAAAATAAAATAATAAAATCTTTTGTTCTTTTTATAATTTTTATTTTAAAGCTGCATAAAATATATTGATTGATTAAAGATGCGAGATTCAGTTGGTTAGACATTATACCAGACGCATCTCCAACTCGATTCCAATTACATCGTTAATTAAATGATTAGAGTAATTAAATCCTTCATGATAATTATTGGAAATTTGATATGTAGACAAAAGATACACGAAAGAACTCAACTTATCAGCAGATTGGATGAAAAAGGGTGTTGTTGTTTATAGAGGATGCACTAAAACTGAGTCTTTTCAATGAAGTAAGCAACGAGCAAAAGTAAAGTGCAACATCACATCAAAATAGGTAGAAACAAGTTTTTTTCTTTCTTAAATTTCTCAATACCCGTTTCATTCATTTCTCTTTCGATTCCATCCCTTTTGGAATTTTCCCGAAGGATCTTAGCCCTACCACTCAGAAAAGTTATGCCACCACTCAAACCTTTCACTGTTCCTGATAACTTTCTAAGTTATTGCAATTTACGAAAATACTATAATTCTTATTATTAAAAGTATTGTTTGAATATATTATTTTCCCATTAATCTAAGAATTTTCTATGAGAATTTGGTAGTAGGATAATTATTGACGATCGTTTGTTCAAGACTGCAATTATTGATGAGTTTTTTTACACGTGATAAATGACACTCTGCCCCAGGGGAAAACGTGTTTTCACCTGCCTGTAAGATGGGTCAGAAAATAAGAATAAAATACAAATAAGGCTTATTTGAAATAAAAATGATTTTTTCATTTCTTTAAAATTAGTAGTCAAGTTTAAATCTTATTAAGAAAAACAAGTACTTAAATAGGAGGGGGTTTGATTTTTTATTTTTTATTTTTTATTTTGTTGCAGTTTAATTAAAAATAAATTAATAAATCATGAACCCGGTAAAAAATTAATTTCGAGTATTTTATTATTTTGTTTTACAAATCATAACATTTCTTTTAATAGTGAATAGATATTTATTGACTTCCTAACTTTAGTAAAGTGAACCTGTCACTTCAATAAAATCTCAACTTTTAATACGACTTTACTCTAATTTTGTCTCCTAAAAATGAAGAGAGAGAATATCCCTGAAAATTTCATAGAGAACATCAAAATGCAAAACCAAAAAAACTTATTAAATAGTCTAAAAAATTAGATATATTTGGCAATCAAATGTGTCAATAAGTTAAGATAAAATTATTACTAGTAATAAAAGCTATTGGGTTTTGAAGCTCAAGTAGAGAAATGCCAGATAGAATAATAATAATAGCATTTAGCAACACCAAAACACGATTCTTAAAATCACAAACCACAGAAATTCTTATTGCATCATCATCAAACCACCACATTGCACAAGAAGGAAAATCCAGGCAGCTGGGTAAACCCATATTGGTACCCAAAACACAGAATGAACGAAACTGAAAGAACCACACAAACAACAAGAGCAAGGGTCTCACATCTCCCGAATCTCCGAAAAACTCCAATAGCAATTATCAGTGTTCCCTGAAACCGAGTGACCCAGTCACCGCCACGTGCACAACCCCTTTATTTAATTATTCCACTAACGGCAACACGTGACCGCGTTTTAGTTATTTATATATTTTATTATTGTTGTTTATATTGCAAGAACCAAACCGGGCACGGATTTCCCGACCCGACCCGATACGCTGCTCTCCCACACGCAAGGAAAGCGGCCGGTGCCGGAGCTTGCGGGAACAATCTCGCCGGAAGCTTCGAAGCGGGTGACGGTGAGGGCAGTGTTAAAGTACTCTCTCACCTGAGTAATTATCCCATCCGCGACAGTCCAGGCGTGAACCCAGGCAATGTTGCGGGTGGTGTCGCAGCCCTCGACGAGGACGGTGGAGCCGAAGGCGGCGATGGATTGCGGAACGAATCGGAAGGTTTCGGCGGTGGAATCGCCGGTGAGCATGCGCATCAAAAACTGGTGTGGCGGAGGACCATGGAACCACCACTCGAGGTCGGCAGCGAGGATCTCGGCGACGGCGGCGGAGTCGCCGGAGCTTAGGGCGTCATACAGTGCTAGCACCAGCTGCTTGTTGCTGGAATCAGCGTCCGAAGGACTTGCCTGAGAGTTAGCCAGTTCGAGAAAAAGGTTTCGAGTTTCGGTGGGAAAGAAGACGATTCGAGAACCGGGAGCAGCCAAACAACGTCTTGTTTCGTTGTGTTGAGTCTTGCAAGGGGACCGAGGAGGGGTTTATATAGGAAGGCTGCGCCGCGATGTTTGCGATCAGGTGCGGCCAATGTCTTTTGGAGTCGGTTTTGTGGGTGTACGTGTCACGTTTGAATTGGTTGGCGGGAACGATAGTGGATGAAGTGGGAACAGCGTAGGGTTTTAATGGGTATAAATGTTGCAACGTCACGAGGTATGAGAATGGTAACAAAAGGAAGGGAGACGGTCAAGCCTACTTTTTTGACTTGGGTTTTAGTGATGTGTTTGTGTGTCTCAAGTCTTGCCAGAGGAAGAAAAATCTTTGCCCACAGCAACAAATTAAATTATACACTTCACTCTATTATGTTAAATATTTCCATTTGAATATGGATTTCCAATTCGTTAAAAAAATTGATTTTTTTTTATAAATTCATGCGAAGCATCAATCTTTTAAAAAAATATATACATTAAGCAATTGATAAAAATTAAATCAATTTTTATATTGTAATGTATAAACAGTTATTTCTTCTATACGAAAATAAAAAAGATAAACTAAATTTTTTATAGATATTTATTATTTCAATTTTTTCAAAAGAGGCAACTAATAAAAGAATAGAAGAATTTTTTGTGTGATATTTATATACAAAAGTTAACCAATCTATTTCTTTTGACTATGTATGGTACATGCACTGAATTTTTCACCTCTCACCTTTCTAAATTTTGCTTGCAATTAATTGAAGGAGACTACGAGAAAATCACTGCAAATTCGATTTTCGAGGAATTGATTTTCAATATTTTTAAGAAAGAGGGATAAATTTTTAAAAGAAAACGTACATTTTATACATAAAAATACAATTAAAAAAATTCAGCTCTTTTCAATTTGCTATTTTAAAAGGAAAAAAAAAAAGTAACGTTATCAATTTGGTGAAAAAATCTAACTGCGTTAGGGCGTCATGTGATGTGAGTAGAAGAGAGTTGTTGAGGCTGATGCCGATGGCCTTTTCAAGCTTCCCTACAGATTTGTTTGCGTTGTTGCCTTTGTCTTTATTTTTTCTTTACTTACAAAAAAGTTAAAGATAACTGGCAGTGATTTTAGAATAAAGTATCGAAGCCACTTTGATGGGTTTAACTGTTCAAACAGAAAAAAAAAATTAATACACACAATTTTTTTATTTTCTTTTTTAAAATATAAAAATTCAATTTTCTTATAATTCTTTATTTTTATAACACGTGTCAAATATAAAAATGTTAACCTTATAGATTTAGAAATGTTGTTAGTTTTGTCGACTTTTAAAAAGAAGAATAAAGTGATAAGTGAAAGCGTGTATATAATAATGCGATTGCGGGTCTCAGTTTTTGGGTTACTTTCTTACGTTAACGGATTTAGCTTAATTTGGTTGGGTTCCTTAACCACAAGGTATGCTTATGGTTGGTAGAAGCAGAAAGGTTGATTAAACATACCTACAGTTTAATTAACTTAATTTTTTAGCTTATTTTATAATTATCACTGTCTTATTTAGTTTATTAACTTAATTTGAATCTTATTTACTTTTGAGATTTTAAAGTATTCATTATCAGATTTTATGACAACTGTACAGATTAATATAGATTAAGAAAATGTAAAGACGCAGTTGATAAATTAGGACTAATAATATCTGTTAAAGATTAATTAATTAGGAAGGTGGTGGTATCTTGTACGCAATTTCATTCATTGCGGTAGGAACCAGAACAACACAAAATTAAGTTTTAACAGATTAATCCATTTACAACTCGTTTATTTTCATTTTATTATGTTTTTAATTTGTCATTATTAAAAATAACCAATATAATTATTTCTGTTAAGTTATTATAAATATCATACTGATATAAGATGTAAATAATAAATGATGATTTATTAATTAAGTTAAGTTGTTGATAAATAATATGTAAGACCGACAATAAGTATTATGTATTACTATAATAATATTATTGTCATAAATGTAACAAAAATATATATATTGATTCATTTAAAGAAATTAAATTAAAATAATTAAAAAATATTGGAAAAAAATTGAAAATGATCGCAATAGAAGTAGGAAAGACTATTAAGATGAATGAAAGAGAAAAACATTGAAAAAAAAACAAAGAAAATCCAACTAGTGGCTAAAAAATAGCAACTTTTTTGTTCGTTTTGGTCGGAAAGCGCTTTCCACCTAGTTTTTTTTATCCACAAGTTTTTTTATTATTATTTTAAGAAGTGAATGTAATGTATAATAGTCGTAAAACATGAATAATTTTAAATAAAGAAAACTTCAAATGGTAATAATTTAGAGTTAAAAGTGAGAAAGAAAAAGAGAGAAAAGAGAGTGGTATGTTTTATTTATTCTGAAAGGTGTTTGTTAAGAGTTGTCCCTAAATGATAGCACCAAGTGAGATTTGATACGTGTAAAGGGAACTGTGAAATATAATAACACAATGAAAAAAAACAAAATTAAGATGTAATTTTATAATGTAACATGAATAGTTGGTTAAGTTGATAGGTCCTGAAGGCATTCCACAATAAATGAAAATTTTTAGGTGGTTAGCTAGTTTTAGTTCATTTTGCCTAATTTGTCAACTCCGCAGACCTACATTCAATAGGACAACTTGGTTAAGTGATATTCAGAATATTTATTTTCTTTTATATGATTTTTCTTTGATAAAAGTTTTTTTGAAATACACTTTTTAATAATTTTTATTTACATTTTAATTTTAAGATTTTAAACTTATACATACATACACACATATGTATAAAGGATACAATTATTTGGTCTCTTTCTTTTCAATTTTATCTTTCTAATTGCTATATTTTAAATTAAAATAATTATTTATAATAATTTTTTTTAAATCATTAGTAACTATTTTCTTAATTCAAATAATTACTCATAATTATTTATTTTTTATAATTTTAGTAACTACTTTTTTAAATTTAATTAATTATTCATAATAAACAAAATTATTTAGACAATATTACTCATAATAATTTTTTAATAACTAAATTTTATTTTATCTACGTGTATATCTATAATTATATATCTTTTTGTTTTTTCAATTTTACCTTCTTAATTACTATTTTTAAAATTTAAATTACATTTAGAAATTTAAAAAAATTAAATATATTTTTAATCTTAAATTCTGACACGAAATTTAAATTTATCTATGTCTAAGACTTTAATATATATTGAAATCGTTTTAGAATTTTAAAGCTAAACGAGTTACATTTTAGTCCGAGCTAGTTGAGTTGTATTTCAATTTGATGTCGAGTTGGCCCAAGTATTCCAGTTGTAGTTCATCTCTATGTGTTTTTCCATTTTCTTTTTTTGAAATTTATAAATATGTTAAACTATTATTTGTTAACGACACAAAACATACATACGTGAAAAGCAAAAGCTTTCTTACATGATTTCTTTTGTTTTTGTCTCTCTTGTTTATGTGTTTTTGTTCTTAATGTGTTATGGCGCATTGTTACCTGTCCACTTCATTATATACCATAACTGTGACATCCCAATTATATAGAAAGCATATATAATAAGGACGTCATCATGCGTAATATAGGAAAGCAGTTAAGAGTAAATAGGATTACAGTCATCCTCAAAATAGTTTCAGAATTTAAACTTAAACTCTAAAGAGATCTAAATATAAGATGGAAGGAAAAACGGTATCCCAAATTTCAGAAATAACTAATAACACCACCGGAGACTAGGCGGCAGCATTGTCCTCAACATCCAAAGCCGTGTCCAATGGAATCTCCTCGCCATCTGCTCCCATCCAAATGGATGATCATTGCAAGAAGAAACATACACAAGCAATACAAACAAGCAAGGGTGAGCTAGATATAAAAATCGTGTTATTCAATCACACACGACATGTAAAAGCCACTCAAACATGATACATTGATATCACAAGACTCATTGTTTTATAGACCAACTCGCCCGGACCAGAATGATTGCCGAGCTATGGCGGGTTATGCACTCGTGGTGGCCTCTACTGCTTTGCAAAGCTGTTGTTAATGGGTTCCACCCTACCACACTCACGAGGTTAATCCGTTCCGCGCCCTGGAGCATACTGGAAGCCTCCAAGACTAGGACCTCCTGCTACTCCTCACCACATAGATCAATCCTCACTACTGGAGAATGAAAGACCATTAGAGCGTCAGGAAAACCCCCAAGTCCGAGCTACCATGCAATCATTCTACACTAAGGATCTCACCATGAGATCCTACACAGATGGAACTTGATTTACAACTTGGATCATACTTTCATCACTTTGTAATCATATACTTTCTGCCACAATCAACATATACACAATCTCAACAATATACATTACTCACCACTCACAAATTATAAAAATAACATCTCCACAATTGAATATAAGTTAATCAATATCAGGAACCAAACAACTCCAACTAACCCATAACAGCTCATAAAATGCATCAATTTATACATACCTACAAGTAATATAATTATTGATTAATACTCACGTTTCAATATAAGAAACAACTATCCTTACTTTATTATATATATATATATATATAT